GTTTGGCTGGCTTGAGTTGTGGGGATCGAACCACAGCAACCTGAGCCTAACTGCTTTGTTGAAGCAGCCACTTAAAGAACTGAGCTAAGGGGCAGGATCCCTCCGTTCTTAATTTTAATAAGCTATTAAGCATTATGCCATTTGTATAATACAGATAAAACATATTACACATTATGTATGGATCAAGAGAACTGTAAGGTAGGGATAATGCACTTTTTGTAGATGACATCGTGCTCACACTAGGAAGACAATAATGATAATTGCACATGTGCCTCTACTTTATTACACGCGAGCATGGTCCTGCATTGCATCCATTTACCTACAAATCATGTGAGTGTTACTACCCTTAGGGGGTCGGGCCTGGTCAAAAGAGAGCAGAAGGGCACATTTCCCTTACCAGCTCCTCACTTCCCTATGCCTCCTGGCTCCCGTGATGTGAGCTCTTTCCTCCCTTGGCAGCTCTTCCCACGTCATTTCTGTGGTTGAGCCCACTAAGCATGGACTGAAATTTGTTTTTCTTTCTTTTTTCTTTTTTTTTTACATATATATTTAGTACAGGGGTTACAGGGTCTCACTACTTAGATCCCACTGGTAGTGATTCTGTTTTCAGCCTCCCAACCGCTAGGATTACAGGCACGTGCCACCATGCCCAGTCTCAGTCACCATCTCACACACCCTGGAGGCAAGGCCAGCATGGCAGGCCAGGGATGGAACCCCTGCCACTGCGCTCTGCCTAAGCAGGTGCTTTAGTTTGCTGAGCTATCTGGCCAGCCCTCATGGACTGAAATTTCTATCTGTAAGCCAAAATGAACTTCTCCTTTCAGTGTGGGTGCTGGGTTTTTGCTCCAGAAGTGGAAAAGTAAGTCATTATATTTTTATAACACCTGGTAGTGTAGCAGGTTTACACAAGCACCACCACAAACACATAATAAATTGCACTGCCACATGATGACAACTACCAGGTCATAGACGATCAGAATTTTTCAGCTCCTTTATAAAATCTATATATATATGTGGTTTGGTGTTGAGTGAATCATTGTTATATAGTACACAACTATTATTAAGAGTATATGAAGGTTTGTCAATTTTGTTTCTTAAAAGGAAAATCTCAGTTTAATTTATCTTGCCTATTTTCTCTGTGTTGGCTTATTCCATTCATTTCTGCCCTGGCCTTTTTTTTTTTTTTTTTTTTTTTTTCCTAGAAACTTAGTACTTGCATTTTTCTTTACTTGATTTTTTGAGGTATAACTTTCACAATTTATTACTATAAACTTTATTGTTAGAACTGTTTTTCTTCATACTATAAGTTTTGGTATATTGTGTTTTCACTTTCATTTGTCTCAAGACATTTTAAAATTTGTTGATTTTTTATTGATTGGTCATTCATGAAATTATTAACTGCCACATTTTCGTTATCCCTTTATTTGTTAGTAGATGCCTAGCACGACCTCATATTTTAGCTACTGTGAAGGCTGCTGCAGTAAACGTGGGCACATCTTTTTAGTGTGCTGATTCTTTTCTTTCCTTTGCATGTATTTCCTGGAATGGGATAGCTGATATGGTAGTTCCATTTTGGGAGGATCCTGCTGTTTTCCATAGTAGGGGCACTAATTTAATTGCAACCAAGAGTAAAAGAGTTCCTTTTCTCCACATATTCATGAGCATTTATTTTTTGTTGGCTTTTTATAGTAAGCCACCTGAACTATAATGAGATAGTAGGTATCTCACTATAGTTTTGATTTCTGTTTTGCTAGTGGCTAGTCATGTTGAGCATATTTTCATGTATTTATTGGTCATTTCTATTTCTTTTTTTTGAGAAATATCTATTCAGGTCATTATTTTTAATTGGATTATTTTTTACTTATTGATTTGGGGTTCTTTATATATTCTAGATATTAACCTGCTTGTCAACTGAATAGCTTAGGGCTGGTGAGACAGCTCAGTAGACTGTTAACTTAAGCAAACACAGGGACTGGGGTTCGATCCCCAGCACCACAGGCCCCACAGACCCTGCCCCCAAGTGGACTGAGTAGGCTACTGGGACTGCACGTGGTGGCACACACCTGTAATCCCTACCCTGGGGAGGCTGAAAACAGGAGGATCACTATAAATTTGAGGTGTATAGTGAGACCCTGTAGTAAATACATTAAAAACAAAAAGCAAACAACAACAAAAAACTAAATAGCTGACAAATTTGTTCTCCTGTTTTGTACCTTCCCTCTTCAGTCTTCCCTGCCGTAGTGTATAAAAGCTTGATAATTTTGCTTGCAGGATTAAGGACTGAACCCAATCTTTGCACCAAAATACATTCCCAGATTTTTAAAAAAATGTTATTTATTTATTTTAAAGAAGAAAAACAAAACTGGCAGAAACAAAGCAACATACAACAATGCAAATGGGAGCCCCAGTCCAGGTCGGGCATATGTGTGAAACCCTCCGTTGCGCTCGCTGGACCCCTCCATTCTGAGCCCAGGCCCAGCCTGTGAGTGAGACCTTCCACCAAGCTCACTGGATCCCCACCACCTCAAGCCTAGGCCAGGCCTGTGTGTGGGACCATCTGTACACTCACGGGAACCTCCTCCATTACACAGGCCTCGTGTGAAACTCTGAGGCTGAAATCCCTTCAGAGAGGCTAGGGGCCAGAACCACCCAGCTAATCCAGGAAATGAACATCTTGCGAGAGGGGCAGTGGGTTCATTTCCACGGGCTGCACCGGGAAGAAGCTCAGGACAGCAACCAGACCCAAGGCAGGCACATCTGGACAAGTTTGAACTTGGTAGATCTGGACCTGGTAAGCTGAGACATGTTCTAGACTCACATGGCTGACAGTGACAAAGGATCTCCAGACTGCACTACAGGGTTTGAGGGTAACTGCTGAGGAGATTTGACTGACCTTGTCAGATATAAAAGTTACATTTCTGGTTATATAGGTCTTGCTTTATCTTGGTCGTAACCATCCAGCAGAAAAGTATAAAAACGAGGTATAAAAAGTAGCACCATATTAATATGCTGAACTGTAAAAGGCTCAAGTCAACAACTTCTGACATTGCCAGTCCTATGGATAAACCAATACTATTATGGACTACTGGACTATATTGGATTATTTTGCTGAATTCACACACCTGCGATATTTAAATGGCACTGGAATACCCATCTTTGACAAAACTAAACAAACAAAAAAACCTGGGTTCTTTGAAAGATTATATAAAATTAATAAGCCCCTAGCTAACCTCATCAAAAAGAGCAAATAAAAAATTCAAATACAAGCAAGAAGGAATGCA